TATAATGCTTGGTGCGCCGTTCCATCTCATCTTTTTCCGACCTTCCACGAGTCCGACCGGCCACGAAAAGCCAAGGACGAATGAGAGGTACGAGGCGATGGACGCGTACGACAGGATGAGAGAAGCAAAGCACACAAAGTGGAAACGTTCCAACTTCCCGAAGACCTTTCGCTGTTCGGGAATAACAATCAGTTACACACATATCGGCTTTACCACGCCGTCCGCACTTGAGCCTTTGAGGTCGTTTATCTTCCTCCGGCCTAGGTAGGTCTCTCTACAATAGCATATTCTAAGCTCAGCTCCATGGTTTCTTGGCCCGGCTCTTGGCCCGGCTCTACGTTCAATCAATCTGCGGCGGCTTTGCTGTACGGTGAGATTGGACTTGATATTTCCTAGTCCGAATGGAAGTCGTCCCAAGCCCAACTCATAGACAGGCCGGCACCGCATCCCGTAGTTCCAATGATGACGATTGGCATGCATATGGTTCGAAACATCTCAAGTCTGCATATATCTTGGGGAAGTCATTGATCATTATGAGGGTGAATCTGTTGGAGCAGTCTGGTGAAGCTGAAGCAGCAGGATCTCGAGGGAACAGAATCCCGGGCTCAACAGCCTACAGCCTACAGGTGTGAAGGTAAGCAAGGTTTGACGCCAGTGTCAGAAGGTACCCGTGCGCAGGCAGCATAGCCAGAGAGGTACTCGCCTGTGGCGTCACCGCGGGACCTGCCCACGCTGCCCTACGGATGGACATCCCTGTCAGGCTGTCAGCATCTATCCGTACCTTTATTCCTAATTCCAGGCCTTCCCCATCTTGTTCCCCGGCTGGCTTCAATGTCTGTGTCCTGACAGAAAGAATAGAGTAGGAGTAGAGCCTCTGGAGCGGACACATAGCAGTGTTTGGAAGGTGCTGCATCGGTCATTTCCATCTTCAAAGGCCAAGACGGCAAGTTTGAATGCGTGAATGCCTCGCGGACATGTGCGGACATGGATGATGATTCGAGAGTCGCGTTCGATACAGTGTTTTCGCACGGCATGTGGGAGGAAGAGGACGAAAAAAAATACGACCACCAGGGCCACCACACGTCAAGAAGAGAGGCTCGGAGAAAAGAGTGGAGGAGAGGGGAGCCGCAGAATACCTAGCACAGCACAGCATAGCAGCGCTCCCGCACCTCGTTGGTTTACGGTTCGGCTCCCGTCTGCTATTTGGCAGCCTGGGGTCTGGCTGTCCTGTCGACGCCGTTGCTCGGTCGAGGGATTCTCCAGGGTCATGGGTGTTCCTAGTAAAGCCGGGGGCTGAGTCGTGGCCCGCTACTGTGCAGCCCGTCAGCAACGCAATCTTTGCCTTACTGCTGCTGTGTGTGCCAATACCTACTGCGGAGGTTTGAAGGAAAGTGAATGCCTGCCTTACCTAATCACATACTGTCCTATTCTACCTCACTACGTACAGTGGTGGTAGCCGTCCCATCTCCACCAAAAAAAGCTGGTGCCGTGTTCACTGTTCGCGACTTCGCGGTACTGCGCCACGTCCGCGTCCCTGTCCATGTTCCGCTTCCCACGGTGCCCACTGCCCACCGCCCACCCACTGCGGCCTGCCCACACCCCCAAGCAAAGCAAAGCAAAGCAAAGTGCAAGTGCCCCAACCTGCCCGCCCTGCGCCTTCCTTGCCGTACTGTGCCTTACGCAAAAATACGTAACGGCACTTCCAAGCCTGCACCTGCGCTCCTGCTCCCTCTTCCTACGGTTTTATAAACATCAACGCTCGTCCGTCTGTGTCAGCCTCTTACTTCTAACACTCATCACACTCACATCCGTTTGCCTCTCTCTCGCATACACACACTACTCTCAAAAAGGGCTTCCCATCTTCCCTTTTCTTCCTCTCTCTCCCTCTTTACATACACACACCACTCACCTACCAACGATCGTTGCTTTCCTAGTTACACTCGTTGACGACAAGCCGACGACCCACTTACCGAAATCGGCCTATCTGCAAACAACTACAACTTTAAACTCTTATACAACAATCTTCAACAACACAGCCAAAATGGGTGTCGGCCGTGTTATCTGCGTGGCTCTGCCATTCATCCTCAGCGTTGGTTCCATGATCTTCCTGCTGGTCGCTGCTCTCGGCGGTGTTTCCAACAAGGACCTTTACATGTTCCGCGTCAACCTCACCGATCTCGAGATCAACCCTGCTTCCGTATCAAGTATAGTCTCAAGGGACGTCAAGGCAGTCAACTTTGGAAAGTACCACGACCGCGCTCTTCTCACCGGCGATGGTGACAACGCCATCACCAAGGCTGCCACCGACTCCTCTACCACTCAGACCAGCAACATCACCGCCGCCGACCTTGGCCTCGACAACCTCTACGACATCGCTCTCTGGGGTTACTGCACCACCGACACCAACGGCGACAAGACCTGCACCAAGGCCAAGTTCGACTGGGCTTCATCTTACCTGAACACCTCCACCCTCGAGACTATTGGCACCGCTGCCGGCCGCAAGATCGAGCTTCCTGATGAGGTCACCACCGCTCTCTCCGCCTTCAAGACCGCTACCAAGTGGACTCAGGTTGCCTACATCATCGCCTTCATCGCCCTGGGTCTCGAGATCGTCTTCGGCATCTTCGCCAACTGCACTCGTGTCATGTCCTGCATCACCTTCCTCGTCGCCTCTCTCGCTTCTGTCGCCGTCTGCGCTTCCGCTGCTCTCTCCACCGCCATGTCTGTCATCGTCGTTGGCGCTGTTGAGGGTACTGCCAAGTACTACGGTGTCTCTGCCGGCTTCAACAACAGCTTCCTCGCTCTCATCTGGATCTCTGCTGCTCTCGCTCTTGGCGCTGGCTTCTTCTGGATGTTCACCATCTGCTGCTGCGCTCCCAGCCACACCCGCAAGGACCGCAAGCGCAACAGCGATGGCGAGAAGCTTCTCCCCCAGTCCAGCAGCTACCAGCCCATTCACGAGGAGAACGGTTACTACAAGCAGCAGCAGGCTACCCAGTACGGTGCTCCTCGCTACGCCAGCGGTGCCCGTGGTGACACTGCTTACGAGCCTTACTCCCACCGCTCTTAAGTTTAGCACTTGAAAGTTTACAGTGTAGTAATCTTTTGTACGAGGGAAGCCGTTTGATTTGGTAGCACTTTTGATTTCAGCATTGTTGGCGTTGGGTAACGGCTCACTATCATGAGAACGACGGACACGCACGGAGGTGGATATGAATGTTTAGTAGCTCTGGGACGAAGATGATCGTCAGGGGGGATGACGACAGTTGATTGCTTTAGTGGACTGCTCGGGATTGGAGATACCCCCATCCAGGCTTTATTGTCTATAGAATTCCAACATGCTCATAGAGCAATTACAAAAAACATACTAGAGTTTTACGAAATTTCCTGCCCTTGGCAAAAGTGAAATGTGTAGGTTTCATGTGAGAGAGCATGTCCAACAATTGAATCGTGACTTGTATCTGAGATGGTGGGCAAATCCCAAACAACGTGCAATTTGGGGTGTATTGGCACTGTTAAAGGAACACCTCGAAATTTCTCACAGAAAAAAACCACCAAAGTGAAAAAACTCCACCAAAATCAGCAGAGGGGTGGACGATGACTCGATCCACCACATTGCATCCTAACCACCATCAAGTGCTGACCGGAGGAAGGACCGTTAATGCAACCAGCCCAGCTCAGCTCAGCCGCAAAAGACTGGCATCATGCTCCTGGGACCTTAGGCAACCACCATTCACAAGAAACGCAACCGCTTCAGACCTCTCGCTTTTCTAAACGCTAGGACAACCCCTCTAGTGAGACTTTTTTTTTTCTTAGCCAAGTGAAGACACACAGAGAGTCAGATATTACCCGACTTGGGCAGGCCAGTTTTTGAACGGCTGCCCGCTCTTTCTCCTCATGAACCGTCACCATGCAGTTAGTAATCCTGGCCCCCCTAGACTCTTAAAATAGCATTCACATATTGCCTTTTTCTCATAAAGGAAGAAGGGGAGTAAGAGATATGTACCTTAAGCTAACGAAACGGAAAACAGCAATTCGTAGCCGGACCCCTGCAGAGGGATCACTACTTCACCCCGGTCACCGGCCTCAGCTTCTTCAACGTCAGGGATGGCGAGACGTACCTGCTCGCCGGCGAGGACACGGAGCTGAAGGTGTACGACGGCGAGGGCCGGCTGCGCTGCCAGCTGGGGATTTTCCACGCCCAGCCCATCCACGGCATTCACGTCGCTGCTGCCGCTGCGGGGCATGGTGAGCGGCGGCATGTGCTGCTCTGGGGGAACCAAGCCGTGACCGTCGTCTCTGCTGCCGTCATCGAAGAGCTCATCCTCGGGGCTGAGGACGGGACCGCGGCGGCGGCGGGGACAGACATTATCGAGGCCAAGGCGCCGGACTGGATCTACGACGGCGTCATCTGCCCCGAGGACCCGGACCGCGGCGTGCTCATCACGGCGCACAACGAAGTCCTCGAGTTCTCCGTGGGGAGTGATGGGAAAACGGTCTCGTTCGGTCGCATCGTGTCACCTTCACGGCCGATCCTGTACTCGGCGAACCTAACGTGGCTATCAGAGACTTCTGTGCTCGTGGCCGGCGGCACGGTCTTTGGCGAGATCATTGTCTGGAAGTGCCACTTCTCCGGTGGCGACGGCGACGGCGCTGCAACTGCCGCTGAAGGCACGGGCACGAGCGCAAGCGCGAGCAAGCCTTGGTGCGAGGTCCTCTTCGTCTTCACGGGCCACGAGGGCTCCATCTTTGGCGTCGATATCTCGCGCGAGATCGACCTCGGCGGAGGGTGCACGGCGAGGCTGCTCGCGAGTTGCAGTGATGACCGGACGATTCGCATCTGGGATATCACGGAGAGACCCGGCTCGCCGCGTCTGCAGTATGACGCCTTTGGCGAGGCTAGGGAGACTGGCTTCGGAGGTTCTTCTTCTTCTTCTGCCCCAACTGCTGCTGCCACAGATCTCACGACAACGCAGGTTGCCTCCAGCGCGCCGCTGGCCATGGTCATGGGCCACATCTCGCGCATCTGGCACGTCAGGTTCCCGCTCGGAGGCCTCGACGAGCTGGCGAAGGGTCGTCCCGCGACGGTGTACTCTTTTGGCGAGGACTCTACGCTGCAGGCCTGGTCTCTGGCCGTCGACCTCGAGGCCTGGCGGCGGAGAGCAAAGTCGGCCGCCGCGGTCGTCGAGGGCAGGGAGGCGCCCGTCGTCGCTGCGAGCATCACGTACAAGGAGACGTATGCCCGCCACGACGGGAAACACATCTGGGCTACCGCCGTCACGGAGAAGGCTGACGGGCAGGTTCTGGTCGCCACGGGCGGCGCGGATAGTAAGATCAATCTATTCTCGGACCGGTCGCTCGTTGATGGCAGCAGCAGCAGCAACACAACGGCATCTAAGCTGCGAGAACTGCCGAGCGAGCTGCAGACTTTGGTGATGCGGGACGTGGTCAGCAAGCTGGCCCCACGAAACCCTGACCACGCGATCCCCTTGGAGACAAAAGAAGCCTTTCAACGTTTCGCGTTCGTCCGCGAGGACACCATCGTCGCGACGAGCACCACCGGCCGTCTCCTCGTCGGCTCCTTTGGACCGGAACTCACATGGACACAGATCGGGACCGACGGAGAGACGATGCGCGCCCTGAATGCCTGCACAAGCTTGAAGAGCCCGGCGCCGGGCCTGGCGCTGATAGGCACGGCCAACAAGAAGATTCTGCTCTACCGCGACTCGACTGTACAGCAAGTCGGCACTGTACCCGGTAAGGTAGCAGACATATTCCCCCTGCGAAAATCTTCGGCAGAGGACAAGGGGGCATCGGATAAGAAGCTCGAGTTCCTCGTCACCATGCTAGGTAGCGGGGACGCTATGCAAATCCTCACGCTCGACCTCGATGCCTCGGCCGTCACTTCCATGGTGCCCGTCCCCGAGCTCGACAGCAGGTTCGTCGTCACGGCCGCCTGCCAGGTCAACGATCTCCTCGTCCTCGGCTCGCGGCACGGCTACGTGTCCGTGTTTCGCCGCGCGGAGGGAGAGCAGCAGCTCATCCCGTTCCCGGCACCGGACCGCCGCTCCGGCGACGCAATCACATCCATCAACGTCTTCCCCACCTCATCTACTGCCTCGGCGGCGGCGGCATCGCACATCATCACGACGAGCCGCGACGGAAACTATCGCGTCTACGAAACCTCCGACTCCGGCATCCACCTGCGCCACGAGACCGCGCCCGCAGCGGTGCCGAACCTCGAAGACGCATGGCTGTCCGACAGCGGCGACCTGATTCTCTGCGGCTTCCGCAGCAAGAACTTCATCGTCTGGAACGAGACGCGGCACGAGGAGATCCTCCGCGTCGACTGCGGCGGCGCGCACCGCGCCTTTGCCTACACCCGGCAGGGCCAGCAAAACAGCAACAGGGACGGAGACCGAGACCACGGCATGCGCTTCGTCTTCAACAAAGCCGCCACCTTGGGAGTCTACACCCAGCACAGCCCCTCCGTCGCCGCAACCCACCACCGCACCCTCAAGCGCGGGTCCCACGGCCGCGAGGTCCGCGCCATCGCGTACTCGGGGCACTCTAGGAACTCTGGGCCTCGTCGCTACATCGCCACCGGCTCTGAGGATACTTCGATCCGAATCTGGGAGTACACCACGGCCGGCGGTGCTTCGCATGATGAAAGACGAGAGCTGCGCTGCGTCAAGGTTGTCAAGGTCCACACCGCAGGGTTACAATCCCTCAAGTGGCTTGGCGAGGACCTGCTCTTCAGCTGCAGCGGAAACGAGGAGTTCATGGTCTGGCGGGCGTGCGACCTCGGCGGTAGGGGGCTGGGGTTGATGCGCGAGGCCGTGTTTGCGGATAAGAGCGAGGACGGGGACCTTCGGATCACGAGCTTCGACGTCGTGGCGCTGGACAAGGAAGAGAACGGCAGCGTCGCCGTCACCATGGCCTTTTCCAACTCGTTTGTCAAGACGTACCGGTATACACCCGGCCAAGGCTTCGAGCTACTCTTCAAGGGACAGTACACCGGCGCCTGTCTCACGCAAGCGCGGCACCTCCGGGTCAGGGAGGGCGTGTTTGATGTCATTACGGCCGCGACGGACGGGTGTCTTGCTATCTGGCGGTCTCGGAGATCCGAGTACGTCCTGCGGCACACGGAGCGGATTCACCAGAGTAGTATCAAGGCCCTCGACGTGCATTTCACGTCCGATGACAGGGTTGTGGTCCTTACCGGCGGCGACGACAACGCGTTGGGCATCGTCACGCTCGTTTCAGGCAGCAGCAGCAACAGCGACTCTGATAACGAGAATGACAGCGGTTTCGAGACCGTAACGAGAGCCGGTGTCAGGAAAGCGCACGCGGCGGCCATCAACGGGCTCACGGTCCTCGGGGAACGAGGAGGCCGGGTAGATTTTGTGACGGTCAGTAATGACCAGCGGGTCAAGATGTGGTGGCTCGGTTGGCGCGAGGGGGTAGAGGAGATCACGTTGCTGGCGGACGAGTACAGCGGCGTGGCAGATGCCGGCGACGTTGAGATTATTGGAGATGGCAAGGTTGCTGTCGGCGGTGTTGGGCTGGAGGTTTGGGATTGGAAGTCTTGAGGGGTTTGGAAATGACAAGGAGGGCTCGATTGGCAGAAAAGCATGACATGGCTAGACAAAATAGATATGAAGTAGATGATGGGAACCTGATATAATGAAGCTATGCTGAAGCCTTTTTGCACCGCAGGGACTTATGTATTGAGTCTTGAGTGCGTCACCACAGACTCGTATTGTCAAGAACGACAATAGAGGTCACAGCTATGGTTAATCAAGGTAGTAGGCAAATAGTATATCCTACCAACTCTGGGTTCTCAGTCCAATTCAGTCTATTCGATAACGACGACAGCTTCCCTTCCCCTCCTTTCGCCGAGCATCCAAGATGAGAGCACGCTCGGCTTACATGCTCTTCTACCTCGGCTCGGGGCTAGCCGTCACTCGATGACTTATAGGACTACCTGTGTGTTAGTAATTATTTGAATTTCGTGGTGAACGATCTCTGAAGTGAGCTATTAAGGCGTTTCGCACGCGTGATAGTGAGAGCTGCTGTAGCGTACTGAGCGAGCAGAGATACCACGAAGCCTTTCAAGTGTTGCGCTCCCATTTCAATGCCTTATCGTCTCTTCTTACTTCATTCCAGATCATGGATATTCGTACAAGTATATATATGTATTCATGACGAACAAGGACTCGATCCATACCCCCCAGTTCCCTACGGTCTGTCACTTCCTCCAGAGGGAGTCCGCTCAAGGAATGTATCTGCATGAGATCCTCAGCTCGAGCCCGCCCGAGAAGACGCTGGTCTCGCAAGGCGATATCAACGGTGCCTCCAAGTACGAAGGCGAAGACAAGGACGATATCCAGCCGTAACTGGTATATCCGCCAGATTGTATCATCACACAGCATCATGATGAGCTGCAGCACATCAAGTCTGGGTTGTCAGAGAAGACAAAGAGAACGAAAAAGTGGACGTGTTCTTCTCTTTTTTGCTCTGGAAGTGATGCTATCTATTTTCGACATGGTGGCCTCCGTGATATCTAGAACCACGCCCCTACCCGGCCGTGGTTCTTTGATAGTGGTAGATTCTTCATGTTCAGAGCCTACCTTGATAAGTTATCATAATCCCCAGTTGCATGAGATCTGTGTTCTTGACATCCACAACGCCATCATGGCCCGACTCCTATCTCTGGACTTCGCGTTTCTTTGCGATGTCAGCATCAATGAATTCAAATGATAGGAGAAAATTGGCAGGAGAGAATCTCCATGATTGGGACTTTCTGGATGCTCTAGGCAACTAGATATCAGAAAGCACAAATACTTGCGTAAGAGCAATAAGATCTCAACGGCAAGAACCCACGACCATGAAAGTATCACATAAGTTGACGGCAAGGGGATCGAGTCTAACAAGACATAGTAGCTGCTCTTCTTGGTCGAACTCCAGGGGTACCTTCGGGGAGATCGTCTTCACCTCTTTTCCTCACTCTTGCGGGCTTCATAGGTGCAGCCAAGGAACGCAGGTCCATTTTCACATGGCTTTCAGTCTCAACGCTCTTGGGCATACCTTCGTAGATTGACACCTGCATCAGCTGAGGAATCAGACAGGTATCGTGTTTGGCCATCTGACAGGCATAAGTTGTAGTGCCGAAAGTCTTTGAGGGCTACCTGACACGGGATCAGGACGATGATATAGACACCATCATACTTCACGAGACGTTCAGATGAAAGACATTCAGATGGAAGAGACGACCAATCGATCCAAAGTCTCGCCTGGGAGAAGAAGGCAGAAGTTGCATTGAAATGAGCATACTAACCATCCTTTCTAGAATCCATCTTATTGTTAGATTGTCTCATCCATCAGTGAGTCGGAAGGCTTCCAGAAAGGCTTTCAGAAGCCTGACGGGTCTCGTCGCTTCACTGCGATTTTAACCCCCCAAAGGGAAGCACGTCAATCATCACAACCCGCACGTGACAGAGACATTATTGATATTCCCCTAGTAGCACAGTAAACCTCGAACCGGCGATTATATGTCACCCTGCGCCTAAGTATACAGCATCTGATAAATATCCCGCAATATAAAGATGCCAGAAAAAAAGTCCTTGCTGGGTATTTTCCCCGATGCGAACCAAAATGAAAAACGAACCACGCTATGCAGCCTAAAGACCACCATATTTCTTCTTCTCCTTCTTGTACTTCTTCTTGCAAAAGATCTAGTTGTTCCCCTTCACGAGCCCCTCGTAATGTTTGGCCCCGTACCGATACCCGTCAGCGTCCGGACGAACCAGTGCGCCCAGCTCTCCGTCTCGAGCGTCGCCTTGAGCTCCTCAGCGCGCTTCTCCACGTCCTCGACCTGTCTCTCAAATAGCCTGACGCCATCCTCAACGTCGTCCACCTTGCTCACGAGCCCGTTGATTTCGTACTCGAGCCGTGCCACGAGGACCTCGACCTCCTTAATGGCCTCGGTGATGTGCGCGCGCTCTTCGGCAATGAGCTCCGTCGAGCTCTGCTTGACGCGGTGGTAGGCCTCGCTGAGCTGGTAGTAGAGGTTTTGCAAGTCCTCTTGCTCGCGGCCATAGTGCTCGTCGAGGGCGTCTACGGCCTTGACCTTTGACTCGACCCAGGGGTTGACCTCGCGCTTGATGGTGGCGATGGAATCGTACAGGCTTCGAGCGAACTCGGCCAGGCTGGCCTGCTGCTGCAGCGCATCGGCGGTAGAGAAGTGCTTGTCGTCATAGAGCTCAGTGATCTCCTCCCATCTGAGAACCGCTTCTTCGGCATCTCCAAATGACAGCCGCCGAGGCCAACGGGCTTCGTTCAAAGGATGCTTATACCTGAGTCTGGAGACAGCGACACTATGTCGCCGCTGGAGGAAGCTGACGGCCGTGTTGCTGGTTCGTTCTGCTTCAAAAGGGCCTTGGAGATCGGCCTCATCAACCACAGAGCCTGCCACCGATGTTTGTATCCGATCAGGCTCATCTTTGACTGGACCATTAGGAGGTGTTGAGAATTTCTCCGCCTCGACATGTGTCGAGCTTGGGTCTGACCCCTCGCGCGTAGACTTGGCAATCGTGGGAACCTTCTCAAGCTCCTGTGATGATTCCCTCAAGTCCTGAGCAGCTTCTGCCTCTCTCTTAAAGGCATTCAGGTACTCCTCCGGCTTGTTCTTCCACGTGAACGCCCTACCAACCATGACCGGAGACGACAACGTTGCCGAGGACTGCGCCAAAGCCGAGATGCCGGGAGCGCTGTTGTAGCCATTTTCACCAAAATCGTCTCTACTAGGCCGACTCGCGTGACCTCTTAGGCCAGTTCCAACGACATCTTTTATGCGCCCGAGGCCAGATTTGGCATCACTGACTCTGCCAGCAACCGATTTGAAGACTGTCTTCCTAAGCGCGTCTTTCTCTCCCGATCCTTCAACCACACTAACAGCTGAGGCAGGCGCCGGGGTTGAGTAAACACCAGGCGATTCTTCCTTTTGTCTCTGAAGCTCTTCTTCCAGCGGCAATGATTGTGTTCGTTTGCTAGACGGCGGTGCAACCTCATCCTTTCCGAAAAGTGGTTGCGCCACGTCTGTCGGCTTCTCTTGTAGTTCCGGCACTGCTCTCCTGGGCTTTCCGTACCAGAGCCATTTTGCGCGCTCGCCGTACGCAAGGGCAATGAACTTGTCTATGTCTACCGTTTCGATATCAGCTATGCCGGCCTTGTCTTTCCCGCCGACCATGCCGATGACGAGCTCGCCCCTTTTCCCGCCGATTTCGGCGACGGTCGACTTGACTGCCTTCTGCACGCCCCAGCCCTCACCGGCAGCAGCTTTTGCCGTGACAGAATGAAGCTTGAGGATTGTCGGACGATCCAGCCGTCTCGTCCGCTCAAGCTTGTACGCCTTCTGGAAGTACCCAATGCCCCTTTTTGTGCTTTCAATGTCAAAGACGTCCTTGGACACAGGTGCACCATAGTAGTGCAGTCGATTCCTGGCGCCCATCAGTAGTCCAAGCAGGGCTGCCGTTGTCGTTGGACCCAAGATACCGTCTGTGGGCTCAACATTGTAGCACTCGGCTCCAATCTCTGTCCACCAATTTCCGATAGACTCTTCAGTCTTGTCGCAAAGTAAACCGTCAATGTATTCCATGTCCAGTTTCCCGAACATGAAGAGAGAGACTTGGCACAATTTGACAAGCTCCACTGCCGACTGGGTAAAGGGGACCTTCTCGCTTGTCCTGTAGAGCTGGTAAAATTTGGCCTGGGTTGCAGGTGTGGGGTCTGAAAGATTCATGCCAGATCGGCCAGAGCATCCCAGTCGCTTGAGGTTCTCGTTGACGATGAAGGCCTGACGATGGGTGCGGATATCGCCCTCGGGTACGGGTATGACTGTCAGAGCTGAGGGGAAGCTGCTGAGATTCGTGACCATCACGTCCCCCAGCGGCGTTTCCTTCGGGCGGGCATGGTACTGATGGATGGCCTTGAAGTAGAATCGCAAGCGGTCGGACCATACGCTCTCGTCCGCAGGGACGGCCAGCACCCCAACAACGACCTGATGCTTCGGGTCACCCGTGTATGTGACAATGACCAGCGTTGGCGATTTCCGCGAACATGCCCATTGTTCGACCAAGTATAACTCGTATCCCTGTAAGATTCCTCGTCGCTCGAGGACCGTGACCGCCGGATCGCTTTCTAGGTATCTTGGGGACTATTAGCGCGCGGGCTTGTCTCGAGGTCGGGGACAGGAGAGCTCACCTAAAGGCTACAGGGTCGGCGAATACCCATTTCCTCTTCGTCGTCGGCAAGGGGGACGGTGTCGCGGGTTCGGTAGAGGCCTCCTTTCGCGCCTCAAGTGGCAAGGGCGTGCCCAGGGGAGAAGGCCCGTTGGCGCCTCGCTGAGAGGCGACTCTCGCCAGCGTCAGTTCCTCCTCGCGATGCATTCGCGGGTCGTTGACGGGAAAGGGAAAGCGGAATGACATCTCCATTTGCAGGAGTGCGGCGGTGAAACTCGGTGCATCGACGAGACTTTTGGAGGCGCCTGCGACTATCTCCAAGACGAAGAAGTCATAGTCGTCGTAATCGCTCGTCTAAAGGGGGTTTCTGCGCAATCAAAGAAATGTCCAGCGGATGCTCTGCCTGTGACTAGAGGGAGGAGGGCGTATTCGTCGG